AATAATGGTTGGCCAACTAAATATTAGTTTTGTATATGGTTTAATTAATAATAGTTAAAATTTTGACCCCACTTATTATGTACGTTTTTGAGTAATTAATAAATATGGTGTTCGTCTACTTTTGTCCAAGTAGTGTATATATAGTCATGTATGTTATATATACAATACATCCTTTTAATATCGTATGATATCATACTTATTTTACAATACTGGAAAAGAAACATTTTTAATCAAAAAAAAATAATAATCAGAAATATATTATTTCAAATACATTTGATGTATTATTATTTAATTAATGTAATCAAAAAAAATAATATGAAATAAATTCGTTTCATTTTAATTTAATGTGATCAAAAAAAAAAAATAATAAAAATACATAATTTCAAATGTTAAGATGTATTATCATTTTAATTAATGTGATCAAAAAAAAAATTAATAGGAAATAAATTCGTTTCAATACTTTAGTTAATTTGTACAGTATATTGATGTATTATTATTTTAATTAAATGTGATTAAAAGAAAAAAAATAATAATTGGAAAAATATATCATTTGATGTATTATTATTTTAATTAATGAGATTGAATTTTAAATAACATAAAAACAAGGAAAGGTATTATTTGAGAATATATAAATATACCTGATTTAATTCAATAAATTTATTCAAAAAATCTTTCATTGTCTTCTCTGTCTTCTTTGTCTTCTCTTACTTAAATTTCTCCAAACATTAATTTAATAATATCAAAATATGGCTGGAATGGTTTGGACTTTCGATGTCACAAAAGACTTAATAAATCTTCATAATGAATATCGTGAAGAATTCGAAAATGCTCTGAACACTGAATATGCTATTATCTGGGATGGGATAGCAACTGGAATAAACAATCATCATCCAGCTCAAGTAACTGGCAGATAATGCCAAGTAAAATGAACTGCGCTAGTTCACGGTTATGAGAACTCTAGAAGAATAATGTTGGAAATCCTGAAACATTTCTAATACATTTAGAACTTAAATGCAGCGTAATATTCTGTAGATTTACAATTTTTGTAATATTTAGAGTATTACGTTGTAAAACTATGCGAGTTTACGAGTTTATAAGATTTATGAAACATTACGGTGAAATCCTACGTAGGATTACAGGTCGTATTTTTTACATATTATTACGGTCGAAATCTTATGATATCGTAAGATTTACAAAACATTACGGTGAAATCCTATATAGGGTTACGGGTCATATTTTTTATGTAATATTATGGTCGAAATCTTACGTAGGTTACAGTATCGTAAGATTTACAAAATATTACGGTGAAATCCTACGTAAGGTTACGGGATCATACGAAATCTTACGCAGTAATACGATTTCTCATCATAAAATTAGTGATGCATGTATTACACTATTTAATATATGCAATGAGAACATACTTTGTATCTTTTA